GGGCTCCTAGTTTTAGCCTGGTCCAACTCCAGCCATTGCAGCCATTTGGGGAACAACCCAGAAGATGGAAGATCTCTCTCTTTCTCTCTGTATCTTCCTTTCTCTGTAACTCTGCCTTTCAAATAAATAAATAAACCTTTTTTTAAAAAAAAAATTCCACATATTCTCTTTCAAATATGAGAAGTAAAATGAGAATCTAAACCTAGAGTAGTAATTAGTAGAGCCTGGGATGGGTGGGACAAGGATAGAGGGAAGTTGGATAAAGGACAGCAATGCAGTTAGAGAAGGAGCAAGTTCCTAGTGTTATACAGCACAGTGGATGAGTACAGTGCACAATAATGGATTATATATTTCCTGAGAAATAGAAGCCAGGAATTCCAAGCCTCCAAAAATAAAGTAGTGACAGAGTGGAGAACCTTAATTTCCTTCATTTGATCAGTACACATGTGTGTTGAAATAGCACACTGTCCCCAATAAATATGTACAATTATTATTAATCAAAAATAAAAAAAATTATTTTCATTTATTTGAAAGGCAGAGACAGAATGAGAGAGATCCCTTATTCACTAGCTGACTCCGCAGATGCCTACAACAGCTGGGACTGGACCTGGCTGAAGCCAGGAGACTGGAATTCAATCTGGGTCATGTGTGGCAGGGACACAACCACTTGAACCATCACTGTTCCCTACCAGGCTGTGCATTTCATAAATCTGGAATCCAGTAGCACAAACCTGGGCCCTCTGACATGGGATATAGGTGCCCCAGCAATGTCTAAACCACTGCCTAAGTGTCACCCCATTCCATTTTTAAAAATCTTTCTTAAACTATGCTAAATAAAAAGTATCTGAAAATTAATAGAAAAAGAAAAAAATGGCTGAAGCTTCTTTTGACTCTACTAACATAAATTTTTTTCTTAGAAACTTGCTATTGATGAGCTCTTTTTTTTTTTTTTTTTGAAGATTTATTTTTTTATTTGAAAGTCACAGTTACACAGAGAGGAGAGGTCTTCCATCTGCTGGTTTACTCCCCAACTGGACTCAATGGCCGGATCTGTGTCCATCCGAAGCCAGGAGCCAGGGACTTCTTCCAGGTTTCCCACTTGGGTGCAGGGGCCTAGGACATGGGCCATCTTCTACTGTTTTCCCGGGCCATAGCAGAGAGCTGGATTGGAAGTGGAGCAGCCGGGGACAAGAACTGGCGCCCATGTGGGATGCGGGCACTGCAGGCGGTGGCTTTACTCACTAGGCCCCTATTGTTGAGCTCTTATTTTGATGTCAATTCCCAGCATTCCGGGGTAGTCTACAGTTCATTTCCTTTTGGTGTTTGCAGTAGAAACAGTCTCTTAAGAACTCAGAAGGCTGCAGAAAAGCTGGGCTTGATCAGGCAAAGTGGATTAAGAAAGGGCGTGTACTGCCTTTTGGCAGTGAACACTCTCTTGTTTGACAAACTGCATTTTGAGATTCAGCAGTTTCTTTTACAATAAAAAAAAGCTGCGTCACAAGTTAAATCATGGAGAGAGGAGAGATTTGTGTAAGAACTTAAATGTGTGTTAGACTGCCTTTTTGTCTATTCTTAAGGGCTTTATTGTGGGAAGGACTATTACCCAAAATTCTCCATTTTCTAGTTAGTGTTTTTCTTTAGGAACAGAGACCTTGGCCTCTACAGACTATTGCCAAGCAAATAGCTAGGGCGCTGGCCTTCAGAAAGGTGATTCCTGGTTCATTAGCACCAATGCTACTTGCTCTCCGTTGTCTCTATTGCTTCATCCAAATACCCACAAACTTGTGTAAGACCACAAAACTGAGAATATTATTGCCTTTCTTTATTGGAATGGCTTCTGCATAGAGGTCACTCAGCCTTATCATCCTGTTTCCAGTTCTTTTCTGCAAAGCAAATGTCAGAAGCCAGGGAACTGACTTCAGATGAAGATGCTTTTAGGTCAGCCTGGATTTGGATTCTGATAATTGTCCCATTTTCAAAGTGCAAGAACAATCTAAGAGATACTAATATTTTTAATTGTGCAGGTTTTTTAAATGATATGAAACATTTCTCGTTTCTGGATTGTTTCATGTTTGAACCTCACAAAACCTCTATGAGTTAAATATTAAGCCCATATTATGGAGACTTATCCACACTAAAGACTGGCAAGTGGCAGGTGTCAAACCCACATTTTGAGACATCACTTTATGGTTGGTTTGTTTTTTCAGGTATCTTAAATATGTCACATTTCTCAGAGGTCAAGGAAAAACATTGGGGATAGAGAAAAAAGGCTTTTCTGCGAAATAATTAATTGAAAGTACTGATAGTATGAAGACACAGTTGAATTGAAAATAAAATGGGAATTCCTTTTAGAAGCATTCTTGGAGGGCTTTCCCATACTCTGAAAACATTTCCTTTGCATGGCTGAATTGCTGGATGTAGGAAGAGAGTAAGTCCAAGGCATATGCCAGGGAACCTGCTGGACAGCATGGCAGAGAGGGCAGTGTGATCTCAACTTCTGCTGCCCTGTGGTTGGGTGGCCACAGCCCTGCTTCTGTGTGAAAGCAGGCTCTGCGTGTGGGATTTCCTGCATCCTGTCTTGCATGAGCAGCTGTAGAGTGTTACAGATAACAAATGACCTCATCTGCTATTCATGACCATGGTGTATGCTCATGTGTTTAAATAAGGGAGTCCTATCTTATGTCTTGTCTGGGGAAACACAATGACCCAACTGCATTGTCCATACCTCTCTGAAATCACAGAACAGTCTAGTTTCCCATTAGTTAGATTCCACTGAGTTTTAGTTATTTGAATCAATGAGTTTTTTTATTTTTTTAAAGATTTTCTTTCTTTCTTTCTTTGAGAGGTAGAGTTACAGACAGAGGGAGAAATAGAGAGAAAGGTCTTCCATCCGCTAATTCACTCCACAAATGGACACAGTGGCAGGAGCTGGGCCGTTCCAAAGCCAGGAGCCAGAGCTTCCTCCAGGTCTCCCACATGCTAGAGGGGACCAAGCACTTGGGCCATCTTCCTCTGCTTTCCCAGGCGATAACCTGAGATCTGTATCGGAAGAGGAACAGCTGAGACATGAGTTGGTGCCTTTATGTGATGCTGATGCCATAGGCGGAGGCTTAGCCTACCATGCCACAGCACTGGGCCCTGAATCAAGGAGTTTTAATGCTTGGAGTTTATCAAGGGAATTCCAGTTGGTGTAACCAGGTATTTCAGCAGTCAGTCCTTGGGTTTATCGGTCAAGGATGAATAGTAAAAAAATATAGGAATCTTTAAATGGTTTCAAAATGAGTTGCTCACACTGTTGAACACTTAAAGACAACCAAAGTGTGAATTGTGTGTATGTAAGTTATTGTCCCTCTCCCCTATAGGCATCAGCGTTTCCGCAAGGGCTGTTCAGAAGACACTGGGGTCTCCATGGTTCTCAGCATCCTTTGTGTTCACCAGACTCCTGTGGTACATTTAAAATCTGTTGAGGATTCAAACTTTCAAGAAAGTCTATTGATTTGATTTCTAAGTGGAAAAAAATGAGAAATTGACGACAAACACAGACCTCTTAGGGGCGTTAACTCTTTATCCCTTTCTTCTGTTGTAACTGTCTGCAGGTAGCCACCCTATTATTTTTATATGTTAAGATACCGAGACTCAGTATATTCAATGATTTAAAAATGTTCCAAAACAACGAGTGCCTGAGAACCTGGGTTTCCCATCCAAGTATTAACCAGGCCCGACCCTGCTTAGCTTCCGTGATCAGGCACGTTCAAGGTGGTATGGCCGTAGAGAAGAACCTGGTTTCTATGAAGTTCCAGTGTTGGATACTTTCAAGAGGTCACCTGCCCACGTACATTCATCCAGTTAGGATCCATTAATTGCCAATGCGTCAGGTGCCTCATTATGTGTTGTGATGAATGCAAAATGTACAGTAAACTCTTCTTGTCTCAAGGAATTTATTATCTATTAAGGCCAATAAAGCATATCTGCTGAAACTACTCCCCCAAATGATTACTCCTTCAATGTGAATAAAAGCATTGAAACTGGCATATTCACCAATGACACAGAAGTCTGGCACACAATGCAGTTTGATAAAGAGTCACGGGTATTGCACAGTATGCAAACATCTATTAGCAAATTCATCCAACTGTGTGTTTGTTTGCTAAGATATTGTTACAATCACGCTGAGCAAAGGAGTCAAGAGTCTAGGACTGTTTTGATGGAGTTCTTGGATGTGACTTTTAGGTACCTACATCACCATGTTTTGTCACACAATTTTCAGAACCCCTCATGGCCACCTTGGGGAAGGACTAGAGGGGTCTGAAACAAACAAGAGGTTGAGTTTTTATGTCTAGGCTATTAAACAAGGCCTGGGATTCATCTAATGACTCAAGGAATACACTTGTTAACCCAGGGCAAGTAAAAATTCCACATTGTTAGCAAAACTTTGATGGTATCAAAATAAGTGTGAGTCACATAATTTCAGCTTTTGAAGGTGGGGTTTGAGAAACCAGAAGAGCATTTCTGTCAGGCAGTGAGACAGCAGCAGTCTCACGGGAATGTAGAAACCCTCACCTGGACATGGTGCAGTCCAGGAGACCACCACTAGGTGCCCATGTCTGGTGCATCTATGCAAAGGAAGAACTTCTTTTTCCCTATTCATATTCTGGTGCAGGATGAAATAAATAGCTTCTTTGCAAACCCTACAGTGTGAGACAAATCAAAGATTTCCAGAGGAGGTATTGCTGGACAGTTTCATTGCTCAGGGCTAATTATTCATTTGAGAATCCACCCAGGAAAGTTGCTAAACTGGTTTGTTGGCTGTGTGGTGGAGACTTTTTTAAAGAGACAGCGTTATATTTTAATAGAGACTTTTGTTTCCCTAAAACTTATTTAGAGACAACTGTGAAAAGACGAGAGCAATGAGATCATGAATGAAACATCTTTTTCTTTTGAATTTTCATACCTAAAAACTATACTTAATTATGAACTAAAGAGCATGAGAGGTCTTACTTGTAACAGCTGTTCATTCGACATCCCATTCCAAGGCGGACTTAAAGCTTCTCTGTGTATAGTGTCTTAAAGCTATGAATGAATGGAGATAAGCTGGAAATATGCCATATACTTCTGTGGGAAAAACATGATAAAATGTCACTCATTAAGGCTTGTTCTGGAGACTCTAGACACACATGTTGGCACATATGTAACATAAACAACCTTTCCTACATTCCAAAAACCAAAGAACAGGTGTGTTTGATTCCTCTTTTATTTTTCTTTCTTGAATGAAATTTCCTTAGATAATAAAGGAAGAAAGAAATACTTTTTACAGCCATATTTTAGCATGGTTTCCTGGGAACTTGGATTTGGCAAGAATTCAGTGCCCCCACGTATCTCTTTCCCAATCTTAAAAGGAGAGATGTAACTAAAAAGCCTACACAAATAAGCCAACCATCTGATATGATTTAAAGGCTCCTGGCTTCATCCTTCTGCAACAGGTTTGCAGTGAATGCTTCCTTTATGTGTCTTCAAGCAGTATCTTCTTTACCTGTGTCAAGGCCATTGTAGTGCCTGAACCAGGTGCCTAGGGAATGGTGCGTTGAACACATTGCCAATTATATCCAAGAATATTTACTTTCTTCTTTTTCTAAATATTTCTTTATTGGAGAAACAGAGAAAGAGTTGGAAAGAGACAGAAAGGGCGAGAAAGAGCGAGAGCAAGAATGAGAGAGAGACAGGGAGAGAGAGAATGCGCCCATCTGTTGGTTCGCTCATCAAATACCCACTGTAGCCCCTGGTAGATGTTTGGAGATAGAAATTTAATCCAGGTTTCCCACATGGAAGGCATTGACCCAGCTGCTTGAGTCATCATGTCTACCTCCCAGGGTGCACATTTGCAGGAAGCTGGAGATGGAAGCAGCACGGGAATTTGAACCCAGGTACTTTGATATAGAATGCAGGCATCCCAGTTGGCAGTTTAATGGCTAGAGCAAGCACCTGGCCCTATTTTCTTTCTCTCTCTTTCTTTCTTTCTCTCTCTCTCTCTTTTTCTTTCTTTCTTTCCTCCCTCCCTCCCTCCCTCCCTCCCTCCCTCCTTTCTTTTTCTTTCTTTCTTTCTTTCTTTCTTTCTTTCTTTCTTTCTTTCTTTCTTTCTTTCTTTCTTTCTTTCTTTTAGATTTATTCATTTATTTGAAAAACAGAGATGTAGAAAGAGAGAAAGAAGCAGACAGAGAGAAAGAAAGAGACATCATCTTTCTGCAAGTTCAGTCCCCAAATGGCTGGCTGCAACAGCCAGGGCTGAGCCAGGCTGCCGCCAGGAGCCAGGCTCTCCATCTGGGTCTCCCACATGGGTTGTGGGAACCCAATGCCACCATCCACTGCATTACATCCACTGCACAGATGCACTAAAAAGGAAGTGGATAAGAAGCAAAGTAGCCAGGACTTGAACCAGCACTGATCTGATATGGGATGCCAGTGTCTCAAGCAGCTGTTTAATCAGCTATGCCGTAAATGCTGGCCCCTACCCCTGTTTTCTTTTATAAATAAGAAGTCTTGAGTTGGATTATGACTATCTCTGTAAGTTCATATTTATAATATGCATATCCATCCTCTCAAATACAGCTATAAAACCACTGGCAGAGTGAGATGAAGAATGATTTGAGTAACTCAACAAGGACTTCAACAATTTACATTAAAGACTACCAGTTTTCGAATCATGTGTATAGACAAAGTTCTTCTGTAGTATGTTGGAATATTGTAACAGATTCAAATAGGAAGATAAAAAACATGCATTTGTAATTCACTATGTTCAGGCACTATACTTTGTATAAATGTTATCACATTTAATGTTCACAATAAATCTGTGAGGTGTTAGTCTCCCCCTTTATAGTGATGAAGAAACAGATCCAGAGAAACTTCCTGGTTAGTAAATGAGAGAAAAACACAGGGTTCAAACTTGGGTCTGTCTGATATTACAGACAGTGCTCTTTACACATACTTATTAGCATTTTTCATAGTATACATTATAGTATTAATTATTTTATTCAAATTCAATTCCTACTGAATGTAATATCAGTCTCTTTGAGGAAGGGGAATTTTGAGGGAAAGAAAGGGGGTAGACAATTCTAAAGAGGGAGGTCAGGAGAGACATGGGCTTCTTTGGCAATGTTTTGCAGACATGGAGAGCATGAGGTCTCAAAGTGTATGATGTATTTTTATTTATGCTGGGGTTAAGGAGGTCATCTTGTGGGAAAGAAAGGAAATAATGACGGGAAGAGAGAATAATAAAGACATTTTCTTAGCATTTAGACATATTTAATTTCAATAATATGCAAAGGAGAAGGACATCTTTAAATAGTGAAGTGATGCTAATGCATCTTTATTTGGGAAATTATTTCTCATTGACCTTAGCTAACTTAAATAAGTACATCTTTTCTACTTTAATTCATCTCATCTGTCTTTTCATGCTTCCATAAGGAAGTAAGAGATGATTAAAAAGAATAAAAGTAGAAAAATGTTGAGTTTGGGACAGGAGACAAGGATCTTCTCTACATGAGGCCAACTGTAGCCTCACTCCTTCCACACCAATCACCTGGGCTTACTCACTCATTCTGTTGACCCATAAGGTATAACATAATGGCTAGAGATCTTTGTGCCTATCTTTATATGAAGTGGGTCTAAGTGCCTCTTATTACTCAGTAAATCCTGCTTTGTTTCTACAGAGCAAACAATATAGTAACGAACCATCTGTGAAAATGCTAACAAAGAAGTCTCCGTTCCTACAACTCTGACCTCTGAATTTTACTGGAGACTCCAAAGTGTTAAATGTGCCTCAAGAATGGAAATACTTGAAGGCAGCCTATCAGTGGTTGACAGAACCAACACTGGAAGGAAGAGAAGCCTTCCTGGGTTCAAATAAGTTTCTTCCACTTGCTGGTTACATGGCTTCAGGTAAGTTTCTCCACGCAGCCACGGCTCAAGTACTTCATCTACATTGTGGGATAATAACCTTATCAAATTTGAGATTGCTATCATGATTTAAAAAAGGTGTTCTAGGGGCCAGCTGTGGCACAGCGGGTTAACACTCTGGCCTGAAGCGCTGGAATCCCATATGGGCTCTGGTTCTAGTACCAGCTGCTCCTCTTCCGATCCAGTTCTCTGTTATGGCCTGGGATAGCAGTGGAGGATGGCCCAAGTCCTTGGGCTCCTGCACCTGCTTGGGAGACCTGGAAGAAACTCCTAGCTCCTGGCTTCGGATTGGCACAGCTCTGGGCATTGTGGCGATCTGGGGAATGAACCAATGGATGGAATACCTCTCTCTATCTCTGTCTGTCTCTACCTCTCTCTGTAACTCTGTCTTTCAAATAAATAAAAATAAAACCCTTTTTTTTAAAAAAAAAAAAAAAAAAGGTGTTCCATCTGCTCTGCATAGTGTAGTGCTAGCATATAATAAAATCATTCTAATTAATTCTCCTAGATACGTGCCTGTCTGTATCCCTACTTCATCTAAAATTTGGAGTTTAACCAGAAAGCTATGCAAACTCCTATCAAAATTTGATGGCTAAACATGAAGAGTTAAGTTTATAAGTAGCTTGGAAATTGACAAAATTGGAATCACTTTCCAACCTTACTTACTGTCTGCATACACAGAATGACTTGTAATTAACTTGTTTGCTCTATGGTTCTTTAGGACCAGAGAGAATAGGACGAATTTTGGCTCTGGAGTCACTAATGCAGGTGATTGAAGATTGGAAAATTCCAAGAGAAGGGAAATTATCCTCTGCAGAATTAGTACCCAGAACTGCTGCAGTTGACTTTAATATAGGCTCCTGATAGTAAAATGGATATGAGTTTTTGACCACAGAGGAAACACAAAAATTTCTATCTGATGTTTTGTCTCTGTTTAAAATATCTCAGAAAGGTCCGTGATCTGGAGCTCCCTGCAAGGGAAGTCCTCTAGTGAGAAGACCCAAAGGGAAGGGGTGAACCATGGGAACACCCTCATGTTTAGCTCCAGTCAAAAGTGCAGGCCTCATCCTCAGCTCTCGCACATGCTAAATGGGCCTGATAATCCACCTACCTATCCCATTTAAAAGCAGTACTTGTAGGTCTTAAACAACAGGTAAAATTTATTTTGGTAGAATAAGTTTGTCAAATGGTGCCAAGAATATTGTTCCAAATACTGCAACTAGTTTGGAATTTAATATTTTTATTTTTATTGTCTTTCTTTAATTGTCATGTATGTTATTCATCCATGGTTCATAGTTTAGGCACTCAAGCAATGATGATCCTTCTGCGACTTACGCCAACACACTATTTATACTAATGGAGGTGAGAAGATGGTGAGTCCAAGTCATTACTAGATGACATTGGATCACAACATTATGATAGCCTTTACTTCCTAAATAAATATTATTTGTGCCAGTATTACATTAGTTTATATTCTCTTAGCACGCTTCGCTAAAATAATGGAAGAAGGCAGACTGGGAGTTCCAAGGCCCTGGTTAAGGGGAGATGTACGTGCAGCTGCATACCAGGCACAATCCTCTAAGCAGATCTTCTGTTGAAAACAATATTTTTGTAGGTGTTGTATGTTAATTAAAAATAATGTGATTATTCTGATTATATCATTATCAATATTACCACTTTCTATTTTTTCCCACAAACTAGGGTAAAGACACCAAAGTAATTTTCATTACTTGCCAGTGATTGGATACTTTTTAAAGATTTTTTTTTTTTTTTGACAGGCAGAGTGGACAGTGAGAGAGACAGAGACAGAGAGAAAGTTCTTCCTTTGCCGTTGGTTCACCCTCTAATGGCCACCGCGGCCAGCGCACTGGGGCCGGCACCGCGCTGATCCGAAGGCAGGAGCCAGTTGTTTCTCCTGGTCTCCCATGGGGTGCAGGGCCCAAGGACCTGGGCCATCCTCCACTGCACTCCCTGGCCACAGCAGAGAGCTGGCCTGGAAGAGGAGCATCCGGGACAGAATCCGGCACCCCGGCTGGGACTAGAACCCGGTGTGCTGGCGCCGCAGGCAGAGGATTAGCCTAGTGAGCCGCGGTGCCGGCCACTTTTTAAAGATTTTTATGAAAATATTTTTCTTCCTTACTAACCCGCTTCCCAAGGTACTA